GTTCAGGGACCGGACACCAACGAGGAAACAGAACAGTATTTACTTCCTGTTGTCATCATTTCTGTGGCAGGTGATTGGTGACGGGAGTGTGGATGTAAACAACAACAAAACCAGCTCATTCATCCCCAATACTCTTAAAGTTGTAATCCTTAAGATGTCAGTTCTGTGATTATTGTGGAAAAATACTGTTTTATTAATAGACCCACCACCAATATTAAAACAAAACAACACCAAAAAGTGTTTTCCCCGTAGACCTTCATTAAAGAGACGTCTGTAAAACTAACGAGAGGACACCTCCAACTGCAAACAACCACAATTATTAACCTTTGCATCATTGATGTTTGAAACATGGAGGGTTTTATGTTTGTATAACATTCCCAGAGCCAAGAAAAGCCTTTTTAAAGTGTGTGTGACGTCCTTGCTGTGCGCCGTGGGCGGAAACAGACTTGGAAGCTAGAATATTTGTTTCTGGCTCATGAGCTCAGAGAGCAATTTCTATTCAAGTGAGTGGGCGTCATCCAGGAGGCAACCTGCAGTTCAGTAGAGTGAAGCCAAAGCTTCATGTGTTAAAGCTGCATTCTCTCTAGTGTCCACCAGGGGGCGACTCCTCTGTTTGTATAGAAGTCTATGAGAAAATGACTCTACTTCTCTCTTGATTTATTACCTCAGTAAACATTGTAAACATGAGTTTATGGTCTCAATCTCTAGTTTCAAGTCTTCTTCAATACAGCATGATGATTGATTTCATGAAAATGTTAAGGATTATAACTTTAACTCTTTCTCTCGTTCTGTTCCAGGATTATTCACTAAATCCTAAAAAGTGCTTCAGTCCTCGTACTGTGTCCCCTTCTCCTTCCCTTTCCTCCCCTCCTTAACTCCTCTTTTTCACACCCAGCATCTCTTTCCTCACTGTGTTTCGATGTTCTTCGATGATCTTTGGGTCTTTTTTCCCCTCCGTCCTCCATCTCTTCATCATCTACCTCCCTCATTTCCTCTCCTGTTTCCCATCAAGCATGCCACATCCAAAAAAATGAGGAGGAGGAGGAGGACAGGATCGATGGGTTTGCGTCTCGTGGCAGAAGTGACCGGACATCATCTATTTGTATTTACATCGTCTCCTCCAAAGGGGGCGGAGAAGGAGGGAGGAGGGATGAAGAGTTAGGACGGGGGGGTAACGTCCTCTCTCATATCGATACTTCATATTCTCGAGTGTCCTGTCGACAACGAAAAAAACCAACTGATTGGTCCACCTCACTCTCAATTAAACACATCGTTAGCAATACATATTATGTAATGTTTATTAAAAATATTTATTGTAATATATATAATTATAATATACAATATATAATACAAATATAATATATACAGTATATATATTATATTATATGTTGTTATATATATATTTATACATATTTTAATAAACATTACATCAATATGTTTTAATGTAATGTTTGTTAAAAATATTTATAAAAATATATATAACTCTAATATATAAATATAATATATAATATTATATATATATTAATAATTAAAGTATGCTTGTAACACCTCCTTGTGTGTTATTTAGTTTATCCAACATGTGAGCATCAAAATTAGATTTTTTTATTGATTATGATGATTTGTACGTTGACCCTTGACCCCATATACTAACCTAAACACATCTGTTAATAAAGAGACTTTCTTCAAAATAAAAGCATCATTAAAACATACGGGAGTCGTCCTCTCACACGTCTGACTGGACACAGTCCTGTTTAACAGCATTGTATAATCCCTCATGAACCTTTAACACATCTGTTTATTCTTCTGTTTCAAACAGTCCTGTAGAACATGTGCACTACATCCACACATGAAGACAGTGAGGATGGTTAAAGCACAGTGAGATGAACGTTGCTAATGCGGCGGACGCTCACCCCTCCGGTCTCATAGAGCGGGTTGTCAAACTCCGTCTCCACCGTGATCTGTCGGTACGGATGAGGGTAGATCAGAGGGAGCCGTAGGTTGGAGTGATACCGGCACCTGAGAACCACACAGGAAGGCCAGAGCGCAGAAGTATTTCATACTCTCCTGTATATATACATATATAAATGAGAATGATGTATCAAAGTGAACATGAGTACTGGCTGAAGGTACATTATAACGTTATCGTGATGTGTTCACATGTCATCTGTAAAATGTAGTTTTGGTGATAAACTAGAATAAATCCAGTAGTTTGAAGATGTTTTCACATGAATATAAAACAGATATTAGAGATGAATTATGATGTTTAACTTCTAACACGAGCTCTAAGAACATTATTATAAATCATTAAAATAATAATGACTAGATTTGTTTTAATCAATAAAATTACAATCCTTTATCTCCTGATCATTTGAATAGTGTTTTTATGAAGATAAAAACACTATAAATTACTAAAACAAAGTAAAAGTACAACATTTAGTATTTTTGATGTTTTACAGACTTCAGAGCATTGAAATGATTTTTGGGACGGTTTGAAAACAAAATAATAATCTGGATCCTTGTAGACCAGCTGCTGTAATCAAACAAAGGGATCTGTATCTGATAATATGGATCAATGATCAATAATCAGTATCAGCAGCATAAACAACATGATATGGGAAATCTAAACGTTATATTTGTTCCCGTTTATCTTTTGCTCTGATCCGATCTGTGACTGAACCGTCAGTTTTATGCTCCGTTGCTCCGCTACTCATCATGTCAGCTGTTTGTTGGAGTTTTCCCCACTATGCCCTGTGAGTAATCCATCGTGAGCGGTCAAACATCTCACCGTGTGACGTAGACGTACGCCCCCCCGAGCAGCACGGACAGCAGGAGGACGAGGATGAAGATGGCCAGCGCTACGTTCCCTCCGTCCAGAGTGGAGCCCGCCGTTGCCTCTGCAACTGAGAGACGACGTTTAAATAAAGAACAAGGTTAACTGAAGGCTCAGCAAACGTAGATGTGCTACAGGTGAACAAATGAACACAGACACACACTGTGAATGAACTCTGCAGGCAGATGTTTGCAGATGCAAGCAGTTTATTTTTTATTTGTTTGTGTGTGTGGTCTTTTCAGCCCACTGACGTACACGGATAACACTCACCTTCCAAAGCATGGTTGCCAAAGCAGTCATGGATGGCTGCAAGACATCATTCTGTCAGTCAGTGCATATGAGAATTGACATCACACTTCATGTGCAGTTTGTTTTGGTAACAAGAGCTGCTTTGAAATGACCGTTGGCTGATCCCCTCTGAACTGTCACTACGTCGGTGCAGGTTTCCAGATGTACTCGAGGTCCTGAATTTACACGTGTTAGAGGACGTCGTCACCAGGCGACAACTTCAGGTTCTGCAGAGTGAAGCCGATGCTTCATGTGTTAAAGCTGCATTCT